TTTGTGATTCACTGCAAAAATTCTGTTTGCCCATGATGTTTGCAGAATGAGTCAAACACGAATACTTCCCTTATGAAGGCTATGTGAATCGCAAACTATATCACAAACTATAAATCTCTAATTGAGATATACCTGATATCTGCCTTGTCCCTCTCTTTCATCCCTTTGGTGAGAACCGAGGATTTCTTCTGTTGTCATCTCCTTCAGGAGTAACAGCTGATTTTTCACTCAGAAACTGGTGACTCTGGAGAAAGGATTTCTGTGTTCCTAGGCAGTCAGTTCTGCATTTGAAATGCTGAGGGAAATACTTTTTAGTTTGTATATCTGTGATATTTTATATTACTCATTATCAAGGCATCCAAATGTCTCACAGTCTTCCCTGCATTTAAATTGTTGCAAGCCCTCTCACACATCACTCAGGATTTATGGGGAAAGTGGGGTAGTATGACCATGTTGGATTAGAAATAAGTGTGTGTGAGACACTGCAGGCCCTGCTCAGTGCCAAGGGTCTGGAAAAAAAGGAGAAGAACCTGGCAGGTTGTACAGCTCTTGTGAAAATTGCAGGAGCTCTCCTGCCTACTCCTATGCTGTATTTGCTATCCTTGGATTTCTTCAAGAGATGAAACTGTCTGCCTAAAGGGACCTAAATTATATTGCAAATGATGAAAAATATAAAATAATCTGAGCCAATTCTCACTGGCATCAATTTTTGTGAGAGATGCTGCTCTATGTGTTATTCAGATTTCACCGACGACACCACGACACAAATATAAAATGTATTTGGAACAAAATTCTTCCTTCTTTACACTTATTGTCACATTATTTGAAGAGGTTTCATGTCTTTAAAAGGAATATTGAACCTAAAAATGGAGACACTATGATAAAACCCATCCCAGAGCACATCTGGAGGGTTTGAGTTTAATAAGTGCCTCTTACATTTTCCTTCAACTGTTTGAACTTAACTCCTGTTTCTTTGAACCTCTTGTTCTCACCAAAAGCCATGCTGACATGCTTTAAAAGCATACAAATAGCTTCTGCTGTGACTATCTACACAATATATTCTGTTCTGTTTTCGTTGTAATACGCATTTCAGTTCATGAATGCCTGAGCTAACAGAGGTAATGTAGAGATAAGTCTCTGGTATTACAACTTGTTTTTCCATTTCTTTCTTTATAATGCACAAGATCTGATTCTTTGGCACTTCACCAACAGCATCTGAGGCTGGAGGTAGGTATAACAAAAATTAAAGTGTATAGCATCCCTAAGGAGATGCTCAGAACTGGGCTGTGGCCAATCTCATATATTAAGTTGTTTGAACTTTGTTATTTTATTAAGGAAATGGATTTCAGGTTCATCGCTTATTTAGCATCGACAGCATATGACCACCTCCGGTGGTCTGCTGAAACTCCTCGCTGTGGTGGGAGACACGCAAGTGCATGACCTCCAGCATTTACAGTCTAGGCAGGATGAAACCTGTAGGTTTTCTGTAAAATTTTCCAATTTAAAGGGAAGGACGTGATTAATGTGGCAACTGAGGCAGTGGAGAAGCAGGACTGAGATACAGTGGCAAGGCTGATGGGATGCAAAAACTAAAGAATGCGCATTACTCATGGAATGGGCGTTGGGCAGAAGTTACTTCTGTAGGCAGCGCTACCTCCTGGAAGAGGAGCTCGGAGGGTAAGCAGCCCAGCTGGAGACATAGGTGGAGTATGGTCTGGAGCCTGCAGACATAACGGAGATGGGAGAGCACTTCAAGGGGAGCTCGACCTGGGATTAGGACACTCTGGAGGGTAGGGCTTCAGCTGAGGAGGGCAAACAGGGAAACACATGGCCATGGGGGCAAAGAGGTGGGGGACAACAGCTCGTAGTGTCGAGAAGAGGGGAAAAAAAGGGACAAAGAGCAGTTGCTACCCCCATGCAAAAAGCGGGAAGGCAATGGAGAGAAGCAAGGGCCAGAAGGAGGGAGTGGGAGCTGGCAGGGCGGAGGCAGGGCCGGGCCGAGCCGGC